GAGCTTGCATGTAGGAAATTTCGTGCTATTGAAGTGGATTCCGAGATTTAAAATTCTAAGTGTTCTTGAGCTAATCTAGTTCAAACTCCCGGAATTCACAGCATGTTTTTAAAATTTCCTGATACATGAACTTGTAGCAGTGGAGTTTAAAGTTTTTGAGCTTGTTCTGAGCTCGCACAAATCGAAATTGGTTTAAATTGAGAAGTTTTGTTGAGATTTCTTGCTTGTTGGCTGTTCTCAAAACAGAGGCTAATTGTGTTGTGAGAATTGTTTATCTCTTAGGTACATTGGCAAAGACTAAATTCACAAAGAGGCCAGCACAAAACGAAGATGTGGAGACAGCAAGAAAGGAAAAACGTGAGGGGCAAAAGAAAGTGGAGTATAGCGGAAAAAGGAAGAAAGGAGCAAGCAAAGAATCGGCTCCGAAATGGTCAGAGGCTGCTGAGCAGAACATGGACGACTCGGTGATCCCAAGACCTTATGGAGTCCAAGAGCGCATCCGTATCTTGTGGAGGATGCAGTTCATGTCAATGCGCTATCCACATCCAGAAACCATAAGGGCATTGGGAATAGAGGAAGATGTGGAGGACATTTTCTACTACACCGAGCTTGGCGAGTTCATGAAGATGGCTCTACCGGCGTACAGAGAACCAGCGATACAGTTCCTTGCATCCTTGAAGCTCACTAAACATCCTCAAGAAGCAGCTGCTGAGCTCAAGAGAGATGGAATTGGATTCATTACCTTCACGCTCTTGGGACAAGAGTATCGGTTCAGCATGTGTGTGCCAGGAACAGAGCTAGTTAGCCTTTGGGGAATGATAAGTTCGAGACCCTATCAAATCTCCAAGAACAAGACCAGTCACATCAAGAACCTGGCCATCCGCTACGCTCATAAGGCGATCACTCACACTCTCTTTGCAAGACACGAGCGTGCAAACGTCACCAAGCAAGAGCTTGAGCTGCTTGACACCGGCATAATCCAGAAGCTTGAAACTCTGGACAACGGGGAAGAGATGCAAGGAGACTTGAAGCACACGAGCAAAGCTGTTGTGATGATCAACTCCTTCAAGCAAATAATGAGGAACGCGGAGCTCTCCTATGAACAAGGCAAGATCAACGAGGCACACTTGGATATTGGAATCTTGATCACTCCGATTCTGCTCGCAACCAAAGTCAAGTTACCACAGTCAAGTCATCCACCCACGTTCATGTATATCGCCTACCTCAACAAGACTTGGTTCCTGAGGGTGATGCACAACGGGAAGCACATCTATTGCTTTGAGCATCTTACCTTTGGCATCTCGAAAGTCCTCTTACCAAACGTCGAGCTCACGAGCAACAAAAGCCGAGGAGGAATCTTGTTCCTCCCCACAGCCGATCAGTTGTTCATCGATAGAGGTGATGCCACAGTTAACGAAGAGCAAGGGCAAGAGGAAGGCGAGCCTTCGGAGAGACGAGCAAGCGAGTTTGGTAAATTTGACTTCACCCCTTACAACGCAAGTGGAAGCACTCCGGCCATCACCAAAGCACATGTGCACATTGGGATGCTTCAAAGGTGGTGCAAGAAACAGGACGAGATGATTAAGAAGCTCACCGAGACAGTGAATGCCCTGAAGGACAAACTCTCGTGCACATCGCCAAAGGCAACCAAGACCGCGGAGCCTGCATTGAGGAGAAGCAAGCGCAAAAGGAAAACCGATTGAGTCTAGATGCATCTCATTTCATTTGCATTGAGGAAAATGAGAAATAAGAGGTTGTGATTTTTCGAAATGGTTTCAATGATCCGGTTTTGAATCATCTTGTGCATATAGAGCGAGCTTGAAGTTAAGAAAGAACCACACTTTGAATGCACTCTTTGACATCTAGATTTGGCTGAAGCATTGTTGTGATATGATCTCTCATCCAGCCTATCGATCCCTGAATTTGAATGTTTAAATATCATCCTTGTGCATTTGCTAAGAACTCGTGGATACATATGCATACCTGGATCTCCCTTCACCCCTTTTCACCACTCTTGTTGATCCAAGTAGATCTCCTCACCCTTTACCAACCTTTCTTTGAAACCAATTCAATTTTTCTGAGTGTGTGAGGCCTCTACGGTTGAGCTTGGTAGAAGGTGTTGGGTTTTTACCGATGATGATAGGATTTTGTGTGTGAAAAGAATGAAATGAGATGAGTGGAATGCAATCAGTGGTATAATGAGGTGGTAAGATGCAAACACAAACACAGTCAACAATTCCTCTTAACCATCATAGTCATTGAAGTATAAGAGGTTATCAATCCAAAATGGGAAACTTGTCACTCTATGAGAATATGAAACAACCAGAAAGTCAAGCAAGCAGTTATAGATTTGAAGTAACACTAACAACCTAAAAATGAAATGCAGTGCAATAAAAGTAAACAAAGCAGTGAAGTGTCAGCTCGACCAAGAGCTCGAGTCGAGTAGAGCAAAGTACCAGCTCGATCGAGTTTAGGGACGAGTTGAGACAAACAAAGCTAAAGGTGACGACTTTAACAAGATAAAGAGAGAATTAGGGTTCAAGACAGGGTTTTGCAATCAAAGGAATCTACACTTAATCAATCTAGCTCTTAAAACTCCTTGTATCAAGGCTTCTCTTGATATTGGGCTTCTCAATGCCTAGCCAACCCTTTCCCAAGGTGGAGGCTATCAACCAAGGAATGATCTCAGAAACAGGGGGTTAGCCAGTGAGAATCAAACCTTGGAGGCTATAGGATCATTGCCCAAACTAATCCATCCAACCCCTTAGACCTCTATTGTCTAGAGCAAGAGATATTGGAGCTCTTAGTGGATCTTTTCCAGCGAATGCCATCACTTTCGTGTGGGGAGTCGCCTAAGGACTTACAAGCCAGGGGTAGTGGTCATGTAGCCTTAAGATCTATCCAAAAGAGAGAGAATCTAGATTAAGACCATAAGCTAGAAGGATTAAGCATATGAAACCTCTAATCTATCCCATCTCAAACCCTAATGGGTAACTACTCACTACACATGAATGTAAACACAAGCAAATGCAATAAAAGAGACATCATAAGAAAGAGGAGATGAAATTAAACAACTTTTATTGAAATAAGCAAGTGCAAATACAAAGAGATTATCCAGGATCTAAGATTCAAGAAGCAAGAGCTTCAAGAACACAAAGATGGGATTAGGGTTCTAAAAAGTAAAAGACAATAAATTAAAAGAAGCTAAAACAAAATAATCTAAAGCTTGGTGGTTTTTTCGTGGCTTAGAGCCTTTAAATACAAGAGGATTAGGTTTAGGGTCAAAGGGAAGTCAAGGGGGAAGCAACATTTTTCGGGTTTGACTTTGACTCCCCAGCTCGATCGAGTTGAAGCTTGGCCGGTCGAGTTGAGGAACTCGACCGGTTGGTCGAGTGGACGGTCGAGCTGGTCTTCAAGATGGCTTCTCCCTTCTTCCTTTGCGTATCCAGTTGAGCTGCTTCCATGCGCCAAGTCCCTCCATGCTCCTCATGTCCCATATGCTCCAGAATGCTCCAAAAGACCTATTTCAAAGGACCAAACATGCATATGTATGCAAATGCAACCTAAAACTAACATGAATGCATAAGAAGAGAAAAGGAACAAGATATGATGCAAATGGAAGCTAAAACTATGCAAAAGATGCATAAAAGATGTGCTAAAACTATGTAAAATGCAAGTACATCAACCGACAAGGTCTAGGTTCTCATATAGATTCTAGCTCGTCCTCTTGAGCTAGTTAGGACTAAGTTTGGGGTGTTGGGAAGTTCTTAATGAGGAAAAAGGGGGAAGAAGAGAGTTCAAAAAGAAAGCCCGCAAAAAGGGAAAATAAAAGCCGAGTCTCTTTGGAGGGAAGAGTTGTGAAAGTTTGAGTCTCTAGTAAAGGTTTGGGGGAAAAAGTAAAAAGCTCTAGCAATAAAAAGAAAAGAAAAAGGCGGAAAGCCAAGTCTAGAAAAAGAGTTTAAGAGCCAAAAGTGAAAGAAGACCCAAACCGCTAGATGAAGTTTAGAAACCCCTCCTAAGGGCTTGAAAGCAACGAAAAGAGAAAGGAATTTCCTTAAAAAGGTCAAGGCGAGTTTTGCCTTCTCGGGTAGATAGGATTCTTGGGAAACAGGGGATAGCACTTCATTGTTCTTGGGTAGATGGGAGTCTAGCCTTGTATCATCCTTCGTTTTTACCGTTAGCATTCTACTAAAGCTCAACCTTTCTTCTTTGAGAGATCCCTTGTACCGAATTTTAAAACCAGAGAAAATGGGACCATCTTTGTCTCTTGAAACCTACCCTTTGAGCCAAACAAGTCTTTGAAATGCATAAGTGACTGATTCACGATTCTGAGATAATTGAATGTTAAGAGATGAGAGTTATTTGAATGCATTGTGTAAGTGGAGTCTAGTGTCTCACTTGTTTGTGCGGATAGATCAATAAGGCTGCCTAGTGGGATGCTTGAAGATCTACCTTTGAGGATAGGGAATATTGAAATCCCCATTGACTTCATTGTGCTTGAAATGGATGAAGAACCAACAGACCCTTTGATACTAGGGAGACCTTTCTTAGCTACAGCAAGAGCAATGCTAGATGTCTGTGAAGGTACAATAGAACTGAACCTTGGAAAAGACCTAAAGATGAAGTTTGACATCAAGGATACAATGAGGAAGCCAACAATAGAAGGTCAACTCTTTTACATTGAAGAAATGGATCAGTTGGCGGATGAACTTTTGGAGGAAGTGTCTTTGGAAGACCACTTGCATGTTGCTCTCACCAAGGATCAATCTGAAGGGTATCTGCATTCAGAAACTGAGGAGTATTCTAGGCTCCTTGACACTTTCAGACCGGTTCCGAACATATCCTGTTTTCACCTGTCATTGTGAACTCTGAGCTAAAAACTGAACAATTGGATGCATTGCTTGTTGAATAGAGAAAGTACAGGAAAGTCATTGGCTACACTCTTGATGATATCAAGCGAATCTCTCCTGATTTATGCATTCATAGGATTCATTTAGAGGATGAAAGTAAGTCTAGCATTGAACCTCAAAGGAGATTGAACCCAAATCTAAAGGAAGTAGTGAAGAAAGAGATACTTAAGTTGCTTGATGCTGGGATCATTTATCCCATCAATGATAGCACTTGGATATCTCCAGTTCACTGCGTCCCAAAGAAGGGAGGAATCACTGTCATAAAGAATGACAAAGAGGAGCTGATCCCCACTAGAACAATAATGGGGCATCGCATGTGTATAGACTATAGGAAGTTAAATTCTGCATTTAGAAAGGATCATTTTCCTCTTCCTTTCATTGATCAGATGCTTGAAAGATTGGCAAACCATCCCTTCTATTGTTTTCTTGATGGTTATAGTGGTTTCTTCCAAATCCCGATCCATCCCAACGATCATCAGAAGACCACTTTCACATGCCCTTATGGTACCTTTGCCTATCGAAGGATGCCATTTGGGCTGTGCAATGCCCCAACTACATTCCAGAGATGCATGACTTCCATTTTTTTGGAGATCTGATAGAGGAGATGGTAGAAGTCTTCATGGACGATTTCTCAGTCTATGGAGCATCCTTCTCCTCATGTTTGTCAAACTTGTGCAGGGTCTTGCAGAGGTGTGAGGAGACAAATCTGGTGCTCAACTGGGAGAAGTGCAACTTCATGGTCCAAGAAGGAATCGTTCTTAGACACAAAATTTCTGAGAAGGGGATCGAGCTCGATCGAGCTAAGGTTGACGTGATGTTGCAGCTTCCTGTGCCTAAGACTGTGAAGGACATCATGAGCTTTATGGGTCATGCAAGGTTTTCCAGAAGATTCATCAAGGATTTCTCCAAGATAGCAAGACCATTGACAAGACTTCTATGCAAGGAAGTGGATTTTGAGTTTCATGAAGAATGCCATAAGTCTTGGACCTTGCTGAAGGATGCTCTGGTTTCATCCCCGATTGTTCAAGCTCCAAAATGGGATCACCAATTCGAGATTATGTGTGATGCGTCTGACTATGCAGTAGGAGCTGTGCTTGGCCAAAAGATAGACAAGAAGCTCAATGTCATCTATTATGCAAGCAGAACCATGGATGATGCTCAATGCAAGTATGCAACCACAGAGAAGGAGCTCCTTGCTGTAGTCTTTGCCTTTGAGAAATTTTGAAGTTACTTGGTTGGATCAAAAGTGATTGTCCACACAGATCATGCTGCTCTTAGGCACATCTTTGCTAAGAAAGATACAAAACCCATGCTTCTCAGATGGATTCTATTGCTTCAGGAGTTTGTTGTAGACAAAAAGGGAGTGAAAAGATGCTTACCAGAGGAAGAAGTTCTTCAAAGATGTTAGGCCCTACTATTGGGATGAGCCTTACTTGTACAAGAGAGGACCAAATAGCATTTACAGAAGTTGCATAGCTGACGAAGATGTACAAGGAGTTCTAGAGCATTGCTATGGGTCTGCTTATGGAGGTCACTTTGCCACATTCAAAACCGCGACTAAGCAAGAATGATTAAGTATAGCCTTCCCCTAGTCGCAGGACCCTGTCTTAGACCCTAACCTTCGTATTAGTAGTCTAAAGTTTGCACCTTTATCGCTTTTTTTGTTGCATTTCCTCTGTTTTTACTTCAACTCGATCGAGCCCAGTTACTCTGTTCTACTCGATCGAGCCCTTGGTCGAGCTGCTTTTATTTACTGCTTTTCCCTTGCATTTCATTTCATTAGGTTGTTACATACATCCACCTTTACAGTATTGCTTGACTTTTTTGTGTTTGCATATTCTCATAACCCTTATGGATTGATAACCTCTTATACTACACGACTATGATGGTTAAGAGGAATTGATTGATTGTGATTGCACCATACCAACTCATCTTTATTCACCCCTGTTTGGATTCCACCTCATATCATTTACATCATTTCATCACATCACTACAAAATCCTATCATCAGTTAGGTATCTCTCGTTCTCTTTCTCTCGATCTCCCTCTCTGTCTCGATTGCATGTTTATGTATGTGATTTTAATCGACCAGCAACCCTAGGTTTTGAGATCAAATTTGAAACTTGTCACATTTCATTGTTTTTGAAACATTATGGTTAGTTTTCTCGTGATGGACGGTTGGGATAAATCAGCCATTTTCCAGAATTTTGGCTAACTCAGATCGTGTCGCACCTTCGACCAAAGATTCCATTAAGACAAGCAGTTTGTTGAAGAGATGGGAATCTGTCTGGCTTCGAGTTCCTGGACTTGAATTAACGCTTAATGATTTCCCCGACGGCCAAGCCTTGGAGAGCTTCGTCAACAAATTTCTGGAGTTTAACAAAGGCTCGAATGCAATATATAATCCAAGAAATGCAATGGTGATGACTCGTGGAGTGGATTGATACAGCAGTTGCTCGTGGACTACATCATTTTGATGTTGGTACAAAAAGACGCTTAATTTAATTGAGAACGTTTACAGGAGCAACACATTGGTCTCTTTAATGCTCGAATGCGGAGGACTCGACACTTTTACTTGTACTGTGTCACTCCCTCGTCTCAAGCTTGAAGACATTTGGTATGATTATGATCCTTTCATCGTAGAGAAGATCATTGAAGGCTCTCCTGCTCTCAAGGAGCTTTCTGTGAATAGTCCCAGTCCTATACTTGTTGAACTTTCCAAAGTAGGTGTTGAGAAGGATCTCCGCGTGCGGTCTAAGACTCTAAAAATATTTCGTCTCGTGCTTGAGAAAACTCGGGGTGGTAAAAATTCTTCTGTTGAGATTGATGCTCCAAGACTCGTGTATATGAGTCTTAGAGATCACCAATCTGATAGAATTTTGGTGAAGAACTTGAGCTCCTTGTTCATAGTCGAGATTGATAGTACATTTAATGTCAGTTCCAGTCCTTTTGAACCGGTGTCTTCAAGCAAGAAAGATGCTATCAGTGATTTTTACGTGGGTATTTCTGTTGTATGACATATGATCATCGCTCATTCTACTCTTGAAATAAATTACACTCTTTTGATGTATATAAAACAACTAAATGTAGTTTAATTAATCCTCTAATGATTTGATGAATTCATTTATTTCCTTTTGTAGGTGCTCTACCTATATTCAGATTCCGTAAAGATTCCCAAATTCAACAAGTTTGTATCGTTTGCATGCTGAGTTCTCTTCCTTCATTTGGGTTTTATTTCCTCTTGTAGGAAGAGAACTCAGCATGCAAACGATACAACTTGTTGAATTTGAGAATCTTTACGAAATCCGAATATAGGTGGAGGACGTACAAGAGGAAGGAAATGAATTAATTAAATCATCATAGAGGATTGATTAAACTACATATAGTTGTTTTATATACATCAAAAGAGAATGTAATTTACCTCAAGAGTAGAATGAGCAATGATCATATGTCATACACCAGACATACCCACGAAAAATTACTCATAGCATCTTTGTTCCTTGAAAACAATGGTTCAAAAGGACTGGAACTGACTGTAGGTGTACTATCAATCTCGACCATGAACAAGGAGCTCAAGTTCTTCACCACAATCCTAACAGATTGGTGATCTCTAAGACTCATATACACGAATCTTGGAGCATCAATCTCAATAGAAGAATTTTTAGCACCCCGAGTTTTCTCAAGCACGAGACGAAATATTTTTAGAGTCTTAGACCGCACGCGGAGATCCTTCTCAACACCTAATTTGTAAAGTACACAAGTATAAGACTGGGACTAATCACCAAAAGCTTCGCAAGAGCAGGAGAGCCTTCAATGATCTTCACTACGATGGAAGGATCATAATCATACAAAATGTCTTCAAGATACAGGATCTTGAGACGAGGTAATGACACAGTACACGTGAAAGTCTCCAAGCGTCCGCATTCGAGCATTAAAGAGACCAATATGTTGCTCATGTAAACGTTCTCAGTTAATAGGTGTTTTTGCTCTCGACATCAAAATGCTGTACTCCACGAAAAACTGTTGTATCAATCAACTCCATGAGTCGATCACCATTGTCTTTCTTGGATTGTATCTTAAAATATTGCATTCACGCGTCTTTGTTAAACTCCATAAATTTGTGGACGAAGCTCTCCAAGGCTTGGCCGTTGGGGGATTCATTAAGCGTTAATTCAATTCCAGGAACTCTAAGCCAGACAGATTCCCATCTCATTCGCTTGTCTTAACGGAATCTTTGGTCAGAAGGTGCGACAGGAACAGAGTTAGCAAAATTTCTGAAAAATCACTGATTCTATCACAACCGTCCATCACGAGAAATCCTAACCCTAATGTTTCAAAAACAATGAAATGAAACAAATTTCAAATTATATCTCAAAACCTAGGGTTGCTGGTCGATTAAAATCACATACATAAACATGCAGTCGAGAGAGAGAGGGAGATCAAGAGAAAAAGAACGAGAAATACCTGAGTATGAAGAACTCAGTGACGATTTTAATTTTGTTGAAATTATCGCCTAAGGATGAGTAAAGTGATAACTTAGAGCACGTCACTACAAAAGCAACTCATTGCTTCTGGATCCAAAAAGATAAGTCAGTAACAAAGTCATGAGTCAACACAGTTGATAAGATTCCAAATGCATACAAGCATAAGCACTTTCATATCTAAACATCCCAAAGAATGGCTATTTAACAGAGGTGAAAATCTTCTTCAGAAAGACTTAGGGCATAGCGGGCTGATAGAGTCTCGATTTGGAGCAACTTTGGATGAAAGGAGCGGTGGAGAATCGAAGAAACTGGCTGGAGGCAGAGTGTAAGAGGAGGATAAAGGGACTTCAAGCAAGAGACAAGCCAAAGATTGAGAAGTAAACCATGAGTCCGACGGATCCAAAAACTTATGAGGAGGAGTCTGCAAAGCCATCATGAGATTCACATGAGGTGAGAAAAATCTGGTGCATATGTTGCCAATTCCGGCAGGGTGAAGGCGAGAAACAGGATGTTTTTTTTTTGGTTTTAGAGAAACGGGATGTTGGTCCTCAAGAACTCCGCAAATCTCATTAATGTGGCAATCAGAGAAAAGAACGGTCGAGACAGAAATAGTGAAGAGGATTTGTCGGTGCCAAGAGTACTGACAAAAGTTTTAACAGAGACATCGAACGCTAAGGGGCTTCGAGAAAAGTATGGAGCTTCGATTTCAGGAAGGGAATCGCCGTCGGTTATCAGTTTAACTTTTGTTTTTCTTTTGTGAATCTGATATTTCTCTTTGTTTTCTTACCTTCATAAGCTTCAGTGCACGTTTGCAACTGTATGTTTAATAATAAAAAAAATGTTTCATGGTTGGTAATATACCCTTTAACACTTAGATTCCCAACATTATCAATCATGACCTCAAACGAATCAATTTTGTTTTCAAACACCATTAGCAATCTTAGTCATGAAACATGTTTTTCTAATTTATAAAATACTTGAAAATTTAAGTAACATTTAACCCGGACATTGCGATGAAAGTCATCTAACATAGAAAATCTGTCCATTTATAATATTATACATATAAAGTAAAATGGAGTCTCTTCTCATGATGCCACCTCGGGGTGGGCACAATTCCCGTCCCGTCCTGTCCCGTCTCGTCCCGTCCCATTTCCAATCCCGAATTCCCGTACCATATGGGAATATATTCCCATATGGGATGTGTAGCTGATTCCCATTTGGGAATGGGACGGGATGGGACAAGAACGAGAATTCCCGAAATCCCATTTCGGACAAATTATATATCACTTACATATATTAATAATAGTATTATACATAATTAGATACATATTATATAGCTTAGATACAATAATTTGTAAATATGGTTTCATAACTCAAAAGATTCAAAAGTATTAAGCATTATCTTTATGATTATTAATTTTGAGATTTGAATTTTATGATTAAATTTTGAGATTTGAATTTTTTTATTATTAATTTATCATATTTTATTATTTTTGGGAATTCCCGTCCCGTTCCCGTCCCGTCTCCTCCCGTTCCCGTCCCGTCCCAAAATTTAAATAGGACACATATGGGACAACTATTTTGATTCCCATATTCCCGTCCCATTCATGTTCCCGAAAAGTCCCGTCCCAATTTCCCATTTGCCCACCCCTAACCTCATCACATGGGTGCTTAAGAATTTGACACAATATCACTTTATTTATTAATTTTAGATTATTTATCTGATCTATTATGTTCTCTATTATTATACTTTAATTCTCTCAATAATTACCAAATATTAATATAATAGTTTGAGGTAAAATTTTATAAGATATTATTGTTTCACCAAAAATAATTTATGTATACCATAATTTTCTGTTACTTTTATAGAACAATAGAACGAAAAAAATGTCAATTATACAGTATTCCACAAACCATTTTGCTTTTAAAAATGAGCTTATATAGAAATAAATTACGTAGTTGACTTTTTATAATATGAAATTCAAAAATAATCATGGGAGGCAAATGTGGTTGCGTCTAATTTTGGCAAATGTGAAAGGAAGAGAGAGTTGTACAAATAAACATCTTTTAAAAAATAGATTATAACAGTACTAAAAAAGTTACAATTGCATGGTTAGAGAGAAAAAAATTAGAACGGACAGAAAAAATAATAGAAGAGGAAGATAGTGAAGATTAAAATTTATATCGGCGGGGGAGAGAGTTGGAAGAAAAACATGTTTAAACCGAGCTATAATTTGATCTAAACATCATGTTAGGTGGAGAGAAGGGAATGGGGGTTTGCCAGAAAAATGTAAAACACTTAAAGAAAAATTATATAGGTGAGACGAATAGACATCCAACCCATATTCGAGTATCAAAATGTTCTAATGTGTTCTAAATGTAACTATGCAATCAACCATTAATAATTCTTCTAACCATGTACGGTAATAGGAATACAAAATTTTGCGTAAAACATAGATCAACCCTCTAGCATATATAAGAAGAAGAAATATAATAAGAGAAAGAATCATCAATAAAATCAAAATCTGGAAAATTCATATTTACCAATACTAAGGGAGATATCCATAGAACAGATGTTTACAATATATTTTTCATCATACCTATTTTAATTATTTCGTATTTAAAACTTTATATATCTAATCTCAATCAATGAACAATAAAACTAAAAATACTGAATAATATGATAATGATGAGATAATCGAAGAAGTGATAACATGAACATAAAATATTATACAAGTATTTGAAAAATTAACAAGAAATCAAATAAAAATAAAAATCTAAGAATCTGTTATTAATAAAAACATACCTTTGGTGAATCGTTAACCGGATTTGAGATCTTTTCTTCCATGCCATCAAAAGCGCCTTTGATTTTTTTTCTCTTGCGACAAATATGAAAAATTGGGAGAAAAAATAGACTTTGTCACTCTTATATGAAAATAAAAATCTAATAATATATTCTTAATAAAAACGTACCTTTTGGTAAATTATTAGCCAGATTTTAGATCTCTTCTTCCATGCCATCAAAAGTGCCTTTCAGTTTTTTTGTCTTACGGTTGAATGAAAACTGTAGAGAAAAATTTAGAGTATGTGACTCTTATAAAAAAACAAAAACAAAATCTATATGTAGAAGAACAAAACATACCCTTAGGTGAAACTTTCACTGGAATATCTTCTTCCATGCCATCAAAAGTGGCTAATTTTTTTCTCTTACGGCGGAAATGAAAACTGCGGAGAAAAATTTAGAGTTCCTGATTTTTATATCACAGAGAATAACCTAGATGTTAAAGAAATAGAACGACGTCGCATGTGATATAAATATATACCCTATTAAAATGGTGTCATATTTTTGTTAAAAATAAAATACTGAATTAAACCCAAAAGTTTGAATGGGCCAAGGATTTTTTTTTTCTAAAAGTTTTTAGAGGTCTTTTTTTAAGCTTAAAAAAGACCCTCATTTTTAATTTTGTGTTGGACCCCAAATATATTAGTCCGAGGTCCAGAAGAGATGAAGATTCATGGTCTCTTGATATCAGTGCTTGTGGTCAAGTTAGTGCTCTCAAGAGATAAGTCATTATTATCTCATTTCCCATTTGACAGGTTTTCCCAACATACTTGAACAAACATAATACTTTAGTAGTTTTCAGAGTTTTATAGCTGGTATAAGATTTTTTATGATGATCTATATGATTCGTGTTGTTTAATATAACATTATTGTATCCGATGATGAGTTTAATATGTTATTACCTTGGTCTTATTGAGCAAACGGGAAGATATATTTGCAATTTTCAGTACAGCGGACAAGGGAAAGACTGGAACATTGAACAAGAAAGAGTTAAAAGGTATGGTGACATACATATGCCAGAGGTACCCTCAGGTGGAGGTCAACATAGAAAAGTTTAACCAACCCTTGGCGGCAAGATGCTAGTATAAGACTTGATGTTTTGTAACACTTGTTTTGTATAATAGTTGTATAATACTTGTTTTGGGTGTATTCTGAACCAAATTTTAAACAACTTTTTTTTAACATATCTAATACATGCCTAATTGATTATATGCTACAAAACAAGATTCAAAAGTGTTATATTTTATTTCCTAGAAAAAGAGTTACAAAAACACTAGATCATAGTCTGAAAAATTAGTTATAGTACACTATCATAGCATTTTACCAACATTATAATAGAACTAGAAGGTGACCCACGCTTCGCACGGGAATTTATATTATTGTGTTAAATTTATTGTTTTTCCGCAAATTTAGTTTATTTCTATTGTTTATTATTGTTTCAAAAATATTACACATATTAATTAAAAATAATTAGAATTAGGCAAAATTAACGTACCGTCTTGTCCCATTGTATCCCATTTCGTCATTATCATGTCCGTTCTTTCTCGTCTCATCCGTCCTGTCTGTCCTGTCCCGTCCCGTCCTATCGCATTATGTTCCTTTCCATTTTGTTATGTCCCATCATATTCCTTCCGTTTCTTCTCGTCCCGTTTCCTAAATATAACTAAGGATAGACAAAATTCCCGTAGTCTCATCCCGTTCAATTTCATTCTTTCTCATTTTGTCCTGTTCTTTCCCCGTCCCGTTCCGTCCTATTCGCCCTATCGAGTCCCATCCTTTCCTGTTATATTTTTTTTTCTGTTTTGTCTTGTCTCTGTCTGATCCCTAAATATAATTAGGGGTGAGTGAAATTTCTGTCCCGTCCATTCTCATCCCATTATGTCCCTTTCATCCCGTCCCGTCAAATCCCGTCTCATTCCGTTTTTTGCATCTCGTCATGTCTAATTTGTGTGTCTCGTCTCGTCCAGTCTTATCCCATTTCTCTCGTTATGTTATTTTTTGTCTCATCATGTCCGGCTCGTCTAATTTCATCCCAAAATACTTAAAAAATCAGAGTTCTTTATATAATATCTTGACATCAGTTTAAATTATATAATCCAACAAAAATAAATTTACTAAATAATAGTTTTTGTAGATCTATACATAGTATTTTTTGTAAATGACTTTTCATATTCTTGTTTAGTGAATGCTAATTATTATTGAAATAACCAACTTTTTTTTTAATCAATTAAATAACAATTCAGCAGAAGTCTTTAATTAAATAAATAATAAACCACGTTCAACAAATGAATCTTATATATAATAGGAGAATTGCTCTCTCCATCTAGAGTGTTCACATCAGCACAAAAATATTAAATTGTATTTAAATTATTTATTAAATATATGATTATTCATATTTCTTTACATTAATTCATATTTAATAAAATTATACAAATAAATAATTAATTAATAGAAAATATGTGATAATTTGATGTTAAAAGTTATCAAAAAGTTGAAATATAAAAGAGAGGTGGAGTAAAGAAATAATTAACTTCAAAAAAGTATATATTTACCTTTTTATTCAAAGGATTTATCGTATTTAAAAATGTTATAATGTGTTTACAAGTTAAAAAGGTTGAATATAAATTAATTAAGATAATAGAAAGCTAATGAAACATTAGAGTTAGAGTTTGTTTTTCTAAACAAATAGAAATGGAGTTTTATATGTAAATTCAGTTGTAGTGAAAAACAAGAATATGTTTACAAATTTTAACCTTCAGTCAAATGCATATACATATTTATAATTTTTAACCTTTACTCAAATACATATACATGTTTACAGTCTAATATAAGTAAAAACAAAAAGTAAACAAACATAATATTTAAGCGGGGTGTTAATATCTTAATAAATTAAAATAAAAAACAAATAATTCATAGTTTTTTCAAATCAACGAGTATAAATAAAATTAAACAAAAAAACTATCGTAAACAACCCGGCGCTTGCGCGGGGTTTCAAACCTAGTTCAAATAAATAATAAAAGAAATACTAGCAACCTAAACACCAGGTACTAGCAAGTCAAACGATATGAAACAATAAAACAGGAAACATCATATCATCCCCGTCTTCAGCCTCGATTCCGCGATCACATAAACCTTTTACCTGCAACACATTGGAATGAAGTTGCATAAGTATTTAATAAATACTTAGTGAGGCAATCACTTTGCCTACATGCCATTTACGCAATTTACTAGACATTAAAAAAATTATCATAAACTCCAATAATTATTAAATTCCATTTTCCAATTATTAAATGATTTTTAAAAATTAAAACTTCAATTCTCAATTATTAAATATTTAAAATAGTTAAAATAATTGTTTTAAGCCATTTAATTATTTAAAATACTCATTAACTAATTAACTACGAATTAAACCAAGTAACCAGATTAACCAATTAAATTAAATCAATTTAAACCAATTTTAATTTCAATTGAACCGGATTGAACCGGTCAGTGTCGAGCGACACCCTTTTGGTGTCAGTCGACACCAGCCACTTGTGTCGGTCGACACCAGCCACTTGTGTCGAGCGACACCGCTTGGTGTCGGTCGACACCAGCCACTTATGTCGGTCGACCGACACTAGTTCCAGAGGCTGATTCTTCCCTCAACAAATCAGCACGAAAATCACATAAAACACCAGATCCACACGAATTACACCCAAACAATACTAGATAACACATAATGAACATGAACAACTCAAGACCAATCAACCAATCAAACCAAATCTAGCAATTGCGGACCTACACTCATGCACTCACCTTGATTTGGCTAGAAAGAGGGAAAGGAGATGAACACAACGAAGAACAACAACAAGGAGTCTCAGATTCACCAGGAAACTCCACCAATCGCCTCAAATCGCCTCTAGAGCTTCTCCTCTCACGCAAAACGACAAAACTGTTCTTCCCTTGACGGCTGCGCGTTTTTATTTCGAGTTCTAGGGCTTTATGGGCCCAAACCGGGCTAAACAAAACTTAAATTGAACCAGAAATCGATTTTAACCATTGGTGTCGACCGACACCAAAGAAAAATCACAATTCTTTGGTTTACGGATGTTACAACTCTCCCCCACTAAACTGGATTCGTCCTCGAATCCCAACTCAAGGTCACAAAGACCACAAAAAACCCGACCTCGCAAGGCCTCAACACTGGATATCCTCACCTGATCCCCGAGACATACATCAAATCCTATGTCATAAGCACATTCCACGAAAATTTCACTCCTAACTCATCATCCAAACACACCAAAAAAACTTGTACTAAGGCCCACTTGCACCCAGATAAGTCCACACCGGTCCGGACTGAGCCCCACTTGCACCCAGACGAACCCGAAACCGTCCATACTGAGGCCCACTTGCACCCAGATGAACTAAACTGCTTATACTGAGGCCTACTTGCACCCAGATAAGCTACACTCAACTGAGGCCTACTTGCACCCAGAGAGTCTGCCAGAGAACGAAGTCTCCAAAAACATGATGAGTTATTCAGGATCGCAATCCTTAGAGTAAAAATTCCGGAAAATGTCTATAACCATAAGATTAGACCGTCTTCTGCCTGTCCTGAGCCTCCTTCATGTTCAGCCTCACAACACGACCTTCTCTGTCGTCTCCTGAACATAAGTAGCTCCATACATGCTGCGCTCCCCCACTTGGGTCCAGCATAGGGGTGTCCTACATGGCCTCCCATACAAAGCCTCAAATGGAGCCATGCCAATACTCGCCTGAAAGCTGTTGTTGTATGCAAACTCAACTAAGCTCAGGTGATCTGCCCAATGGCCACCCCAATCCAACACACACATCCTCAGCAAATCCTCCAAAGTCTGAATAGTCCTCTCTGACTGACCATCTGTCTGCGGATGATAAGCTGTACTCAGATGCACCTTAGTGCCCATCTCTGCCTGAAAAGCTCTCCAAAACTCTGAAGTGAATCTGGGATCACGGTCTGACACAATACTAGCTGGCACTCCATGCAGCCTCACAATCTCTCGCACAAACTTCCTAGCCAAGACAGCAGCTCCATCTGTCTTCTTGATGGCCAAGAAATGTGCGGACTTAGTCAACCGATCCACAATCACCCAGATAGCATCGAAAGTCCTCGAAACAGGTAGTCCAACCACGAAATCCATCGTAATCCTGTCCCACTTCCACTCTGGAATGGGTAAACTCTGCAAAAGACCACCCGGAACCTGATGCTCTGCCTTCACCAAGGCACAAGTGTTGCACTTCGCAACCCAGTCTGCTACATCCCTCTTCATCCCGACCCAATGATAGTACCTCTTGAGGTCATGGTACATCTTGGTCGCTCCCGGATGAATGGAAAACTTGCTCGCGTGAGCCTCTCCCAAAATCTGATGTCTCAACTCCACATCCTTAGGCACACAAACTCGCCCACGAACCAAGATAGTCCCATTCGCAGAGACCTCATACTCAGAACCAGTCACTCTCGTCGCATCTAGCAAACTCTGATCACTCTGCTGAGCAACTCTGATCCTGCTAAGTAGATCCGCCTGATCCACTGCCTCTAAACCCAAAGGCTCCTGCGAAATGGCACACAAACGCAAGGTACTGATCTCGCCAACTAGAGACTCCACATCTCGCTCAACTGCGGAATCATACCTCCGTCTACTCAACGCGTCCGCCACTAGGTTAGCCTTGCCCGGATGGTAGTTAATGCTCACCTGATAGTCCGCCAAGAACTCAACCCAGCGCGTCTGTCTCGCGTTCATCATCGGCTGAGTGAAGATATGCTGCAAACTCTTGTGATCCGTGAAGACCTGTACTGTCTCACCTAGCAAGTAAGACCTCCAAATCTTCAACGCGAAGATCACTGCTCCCAACTCTAAGTCATGTGTAGGACGGTTACGCTCACTGCCCTGCCACTGTCTCGAAGCATATGCTATCACTCTGCCCTCCTGCATCAGCACACAACCAAGACCAATGCCTGAAGCATCTGTATACACCATGTAAGGCTTCCCTGGCTCGGGTAACGCCAACACTGGTGTAGTAGTCAACATCTCCTTGAGCTGACTAAAGCTCTCCTCACACTCAGCTGACCAAACAAACGGGACATCCTTCCCGGTCAACTTCGTCATCGGCTGCGCCATGGTAGCAAACCCCTTGACGAACCTCCTGTAGTATCCTGCCAAACCCAGAAAACTCCTGATCTCGGTGGCACTACTAGGTCTAGGCCAATCTCTGATAGCCTCAATCTTAGCCGGATCCACAGAAACTCCCTCTGCAGAAACAATGTGGCCAAGAAATCCCATCTCTCGCTGCCAGAAACTGCACTTGCTCAACTTAGCAAAAAGCTTCTGCTCCCGAAGCTTCTCCAGAACCAACCTCAAGTGAGTCGCATGCTCCTCCTGACTCCTCGAGTATACCAGAATATCGTCAATGAAAATGATGACAAACATGTTTAAATGAGGTAGATAGCTGATAAGCTACAAATAGGTCCTTTTCTCTACTGCAAATTATCAGTGATGAAGATTGTAATATAAAGGATTCGAAATCCAGAGGACCAGCGTTACACTGTGAAACTAGGAGATTTAAAACAGAGCTAAGACAAAGATGATTGGTTTTAGTAACAGGTAACGAATGTAAACGTTGATGTAATTCAATAAACAGGGACTAGACCAAGGCAATTCGCAGAGATTCACGGTTAACACCAAACAACTATTCAGGGCACAGATAAAGAACAGGTCTCGAACTCAAACAAAACATATGTCAATTCACTTTCGCGATATAACAACTTTATCTAACAACCTAGATGTCTAAACTGTCGTTTGAATCTAGCAATTGATGACAAGCAATGCGCACAGGTTCGATAAGTTCACGAATCGCCTTAGCATCAACTTTCGCAGGCTAAGGACGATTCGCTCACCACAGTTCGTTCTAACAACCTATTGCACTTTTGATGAACAGGTAATCTGAGATCAGAGATCGAGTGATCAGATCGATCTAAGCAGAATGCAACAATGGCGAAGACAGTATTAAAGCCCTATCTGTATTCAGTCAAGTTAACACATGAATCCCTTTGAAAAACCTAGATCTAGCAGGGTGACTACTCAGACATGGTGAAACAGCAAACAATACTGAATGAATGTCATTGAATCAAAATACGAAAATAGCAAAACAAGGGTTCAGAAATCTTCTCCAAACTGTGAAAACAGAGGTTCGATCTCTTCTCCCTCAGAAACAATGTAAAACTCTGAAAAACGGCGTAGCCTAAACAATGGCTAAAGATAGGTCTAAATAGCTCCGGGGTCGACTTCGGTTCAATCCGGTTCGCTGTGGTTCGATCAAGTCGGTTTGCACCAAGTAGATCGAACGGCTGTGATATCATCTGACCGGGATTGATCGAACGGCTGAGACAGAACGGGATCGATCGAGCTGGCTTGCTCTGCATATCGATCGAGTCGGTGAAGGACTGGGATCGATCGAGTGTGCGTGGGGATCGATCGACTCGCCTCTCAGTATGAGTCGATCGACCTGTCTGATGGGTCGATCGAGCTTGTTGCGTAGGCTCGATCGAGCTCCTTTCGCTCCGTTTTGCCTGCTTTCCCCTTGTTGGTCCATGTGACCAAAGCTCTCCCTGGAACGTCTTTAGACCTGAAAAGACTCGATAAAGACTAGAAAGACTCGATAAAACTCGTGAAAACAAGTGTTAGAATGCGTCAAATACGCAAGATATCAACTCCCCCGGACTTGGTCTTTTGCTTGCCCTCAAGCAAACATAAATTCCAAGAATAGGGAAGAAGTTTGAAAACGCGGGAACTCACAAATCATCAGCAACCATACCCCGAAGGATCATCAGTAGACCTCAAAGGACAAGGTTCGGTCAGTGCATAATCACTGTAGTCCCCTTGAAGTCTCGCATTCCTGATCCCGTGATGAACCTCCATCCTGCAGAAACTCAAGCTACACATTGGTTAACTCTCTACATTCATTAAGATTTGGCGTGGACCTCTCATCAAGAACATCATACAGGGTCGACGGTGTTGGGTATCAAAAGGCCTGTTTTTGGTGAGGTTAAAGTGTTTAAGGGTTACCAGATACGCCGGAGGATGCATGATATCGCGCAAAACAGCAAGAGAGAATGGTTCTGTTGATAGCCACATTTCCCAACCACTTCACTCTTCAACTCCTTGTATGTTGGATTTTATCCAGAACAGCTCTAACTCCCAATTCGCCTTGATCGGTGGTGTTCCTTGGAGGTATTCGGTCGAGCTTGACATTTTATTGAACCACTAGTTCCTTTCCTCAAGTTTTTCTGATTTTTTTTTTTGATTGAGGGGAACTAGTGTCAATGGCTCGTAAACGACCATCAGTTCGATCGATTCAGGCTCCATACTCCACCATCACTTCCCATTCTCAGTGTTGTAGATGAACACTCGTCTTGAATGTGGTTGGGAAGCTGTGTCGAACCTTTCTCTCCGACGTTTTTGCACATATCTGCATATATGACAAAAGAACAGAGTGCATGAAGTCAGAAAGAAGGTAAGGCTCAAGGTGGGGTACCAACCAAAGATGGGCTGGCCACTCAGGATCAACAGAGAGTGGTAAAATGAATAAGAAGTCCTGAGTGTATGGTCCGTTTCCCTGCTATGACATTCCGAATGAGAGGTAATTGATGTCAGATTAGTGGTCCAATAGCATTAGAGTCAACCAAATGTTTCACCAAAATCTCTGCAAAACGAAAATTCCTGGGGGAAGTCTGACCAAAAGGGTAATCCAGCTTTTTACACATAACAAACCCTGCAAAATTGGTCACTAGATAGAAAGAATTCAAGAGCACAAATGGTTTCATCAGATAAGTTTATTCCCAACAAGTTTTTGACTCAATAAAACCTGACTCAAAGAAAACATCAAAATGACTCAAGGTGAAACAAAAACAAAAGAAAGAAAAAGACGTTAGTAAACACAAAGACCCTCCCCCGGACTTACTTCACACCGACCCGGTGTGAAAAGAAACCAAGGAGAGAGTTAAACAGACTCAATAAAAGAAAAAGAAAAGGGAAAATGGAATGATACAGTGGTGGTGGTCGGTCGAGTGGCGTCAGGAAGAGCATCAGCGGCGTCCGTAGATGAAGTCGTCGAGATCCTCCTGCATGCTCTCCTGCGTGTAAGTAGGGACGGTGGTAGGCGCAGCTCGCTCGTGTGTAAGGCACGTACTGGTCCGGCGGAGCTCTCGTCGGCGGTGTGTGATCTGTCGGCGCTGTCGGCCTCGAAGAGCTGCATCGCCTGAATGGCAAGTCTGCGTCAGCTCCTGCGCCTGATGGTCTCGCTGTCTGCGGCTCTCCGCGCCTCTTCCGCTGCTGTCGCGGCTCGAAGGAAGAGTGTCGTGGTGGCTCAGGAGGTAGTGGTCGTCCGCCGGTGGTGTCGTGGTGGGCTCGTCGTCGTCCTCGGAGAGGGGATCGCCTGGCGTGGACCGACTGCGGTCCTCTGGACACCTCCTGAAGCTGAGGCAACACAGCTCAGCTTGTCCTGCATGGCACGGATCTGATCGGCCATCTTCTTCACCTTGCTCTTGAGCTTGCTGGTGATCTTGTCCTGCGCCTTGTTCCACCGCTGAAGAATGCCGATGTGCTGGTGAGCCGCCTTCAGCCGGCGGTCTGTCTGGCGGTGGTGGTGTAGCCGGCGAAGTGCAAGTGGTCGAGCTCGTCCGTCTGCGTGGAGTCAAGCTCGTGTGATGGATCGCCGCGGTGTGTGGTCGCCTGAGGTGTGGCGTAGTCTCTGGCGGTCGATCGATCTCCGGTGTAGAGAGCGGACTGAGGTGGGTTGAACTCGACGTTGGACCCTCCTCTGATCGTCGTCCAGCTGGGGCTGGGGAGCAACATGCGGGAGCGCCGAGCTGAACGTGAGTGAACTGGTACAGGAGTCGGCTGGCGTCTGACGTCTTCTGCAAGAAGACGCTGTTCCTCAGGTACTCGAGATCGAGCCCTCGGGTGGTGCGACCTCGTCCTCTCTGTCAGGTGTGAAGCCGACGGCGCGTAGAAGAGGTGTGACCAAGCCGCCCATCCGCAGTGTGCACTTGTGCCGGATGGTCCTGTTCCTCGAAGCCCAGTCCCTGTAAGAGCGGAGCTGGCTACAAGGGCGACCGTGATGCCTCCGTGACCTGCTGCCTCGGAGCTGGGTCCCGTTGATCAGTCTCAACGGGATGCCTGTGAGTGCCACGTCGATCATGGCCATCTCTGTCTCTGTGACGTTCCCGGTGGCCTGTCGGGAAAAGAGCGTGTTGGCGATCGCCTTGTGGAAGTAGCGGACCGGCGGGCTCCTGATCTGAGCGGACTTCGCACTTGAGGAGAAGTACTCCCCAAACGCGATCGTCCCCCAAAGTGCGGACATCTCGTCGCGGTCGACGTCGAGGCCTAGACGGTTGCCTGGCGGCAGAGAAAGAGCTCGGTCGATCTCTCTGTATGAGAGATGGTGTCCGTCCAGTGGCCCAGAATGTGATGTACCCGTCACTGCCGTCGGGTGTGGTCTTGCCGTCGACGCAGGGCTCGTGCTCGAGAGTGGCAAGGAAAAGGCAAGTCGCCTTCCGGTAAGCCTCGTGCTGCTGGAACATGACTCGGCCGATCCCTAGGTTGTGGAACATCTCGTCGATGTCCTCGTCGATGCGGAGCGTCTGCATCGTGCCTCTGTCGGCATACCGCGTCCCGGCAAACTTCATGTCGAGGAGGGTGCGGAGACGCTGCATCTCGATCTCCGTGACAGTGTCCTCGGGCTCGTCGTCTCCCGGTGTCTCAGGAAAAGGTGCGTCCTGCATCGTCGAGTCCTCCACGAAGTCGTCATCGGGCTCGACGACGGGTCTCTTCCCTCGCGCTATCTCCTCTCGCCGCGTGAGTATCCGTCGCCGCCTCGTTCCTGAAAATCACACAAGTAGCGAGAGTCAGAGAGGTTTTACTTCGACCGTGGTAAACAATCGATCGATTCAGTAAGCATCAACAACGACCACTCGATCTGAATACCAAAACCACGCGGTCGACTCGATTACAAGCGAGAACCAGCTAACAACGCTAACAACCTCAATCAATTGACTTATACATTTAAACTAGAACCTACTCGACCGAAACCGCAGCAAAATCGTCAAACATTATCAACCTCAAGCTCAATCTCAAGTTAGATAGAACACATGAACACACGAACAAAAAGCCGACTCGATCGAATCTCTTCTAACTAGCAACCTACTCGGTCGAGTGCAAGACAATAGGACACAAGTTCGATCGAACAAGAGAGCACGCAATCGAGTTAGAAACAGCTACCTTAGCATGGTTAAATGAGTGAGAGAGAGATGATGCAGAAACAGTATGCTATCGTGTGTGGTGAAGCGATTGAGGTTGGTTGTGAGAGGTGGTTCGGTCGAGAGTGGTGAAGTAAATGAAGGAGGTGAGTGAAATGGATGGAGAGTGGAGGAAATCGATTGAATGGTGGTTGTCGATGGGGTGTGGTGAAAGAGAGAATGAGAAAGAGTAATGTGAGGTGGGGTTAGATGAAAGAAGTAGAGAAGAGATGAAATGATGGAGGCGATGATGAAGATGAATGAAAGAGAGAGATGGAAAAATGATGAGAGAGAGATGTTTCAGAAAAAATGGCGAGTGGGATGTGAAGAAAGTTTGAATGGTGGTGAGGGAGATAAGAATCGAGTGGTGAGGGAGATAAGAATCGAGTGGTGTGGAAGTTAAGGGACAAGATTCACTTACCTGTTTTGATCACTTACCTGTGGCAGGACCTAGGCGGTCGAGTGTGCGGTTCGGCGGGTCGACAGGATGGGCGGGTCGACAGGATGGGCGGGTCGACCCGACGTTTTTTTTTTTTTTTTTTTTTTCAAAACAAAGAAAACAAAATTAGCAGGAAAACAAATTGAAAAGAGAGTATGTACACTTACCAGTGGGTTGCCTCCCACCAAGCGCTTGGTTTAAGTCACCAGCTTGACTTGAATGCCTATCAGGCAGGAGATGGATCACTGAGAGGAATAGACGCCCTCTCTGTGATGTCGGTATCAGCAAGGTATGGGTTGAGGCGTTGACCGTTCACCACGAAGTGTCCACCAGACTTGTCCCATAGCTCAAAAGCTCCATATGGTCTGACCTCCTTGATGACGAAGGGCCCAGACCACCTTGATTTCAGCTTTCCAGGAAACAACTTCAGCCTGGAGTTAAACAGGAGGACTTGATCTCCTTGGGAGAAGTTCCTTTTCAGAATCTTCTTGTCATGATAGGCTTTAGTCCGCCCCTTGTAGATCTTCGAACTGTCATAGGCCAGGTGCCTAATCTCGTCAAGCTCGACCAACTGCATGTTCCTCCTCTCCGCCGCAGACTTCATGTCATAGTTTATCTGCTTCACTGCCCACGCAGCCTTGTACTCTAACTCCACAGGTAGGTGACAAGTCTTGCCATAGACCAAGTTAAACGGTGTCGTACCAAGAGGAGTCTTGTAGGCAGTTCGATAGGCCCAGAGTGCATCATCCAACTTTGCAGCCCAGTCCTTCCCAGTCGTGCCTGCAGTCTTCCGAAGGATGTTCTTGATCTCTCTGTTAGATAGCTCGACTTGGCCACTCGTCTGGGGATGATAAGGAGTCGCCACCTTGTGCTTCACCCGTGCCTCTTCAACATATTATCGAAGGTCCTATTGATGAAATGAGAACCTCCATCACTGATAACAACTCTCGGCACACCAAATCGAGGGAAGATCACCGACTTGAACATCTTCATCACGACCTTTGCATCATTAGTAGGACTGGCTATAGCCTCCACCCACTTAGATACATAGTCGACAGCCACCAAAATATACAGGTTTCCATAGGAAGATGGGAAGGGTCCCATGAAGTCAACTCCCCACACGTCGAAAACCTCTACTTCCAGAATGAAGTTCTGTGGCATCTCGTTTCTCTTACTGATGTTCCCCTGTCTCTGGCACACGTCACAGTTGGACACAAACCTGTGTGCATCTCGGAACATGGTAGGCCACCAGTATCCAGCTTGCAGTGCCTTTGATACTGTCTTGTATGTGGCGAAGTGTCCAGTATAAGATGAGCTATGACAGTGGAACAAGATCCCATGTATCTCCTCATCAGCTACACATCTCCTGTAGACCCCATCGGTGCAGTGCTTGTACAGGTATGGCTATCCCAGAAATAGCGACTGATGTCTCTCAGGAATTCTTCTTCTTGTTCCCTACAAACCCTGTAGGTTCATGCTCAGCAGCGAGGTAGTTCGCTATCTCTCCAAACCATGGGAAACTGGACGGTCAACGGCGTTACAGCTCATAGCACGATCTCCATCATCTCCATTCGATCGATCTCATTAGCAGTCGAACTCCGTCATCTGCGAGCAGGGGCTCGCCGTAGTCGATCACCTCAACAGCGTAGACGTGCTCATCAGGTAGGCTGTCGTCTAGAGGGACGTCATCATCGATCTTCATCCTTGACAGGATCAGCTACACCATTGTCAATCCCTTTCTTATCCTTGATCTCCAGATCGAACTCCTGAAGCAAAAGAATCCATCTCAAGAGTCTCGGCTTCGCATCCTTCTTCGTCAGCAAGTACTTCAATGCAGCGTGATCAGTATGGACAATCACCTTCGATCCAACAAGATAGGACCGAAACTTCTCAAACGAAAAGACCACCGCCAATAGTTCTTTCTCAGTCGTAGCGTACTTGCACTGAGCTTCATCAAGTGTGCGACTGGCGTAGTAGATCACGTGCAGCTTCTTCTCCTTTCTCTGTCCCAAGACCGCTCCACAGCATAATCACTAGCATCCATCATGACCTCGAAAGGAAGGTTCCAGTCTGGAGGTTGGACAATTGGGGCACTCACTAGAGCTCCCTTGATCGTGTGAAAGGCCTCCAAGCATGTACTGTCAAAGTCGAACTTCACCTCCTTACACAACAGCTGCGTCAAAGGTCTGGTGATCTTGGAGAAGTCTTTGATGAACGCCTGTAGAACCCTGCATGCCCCAGAAAGCTGCGGATTCCCTTGACGAATTAGGCGGCTGTAGACTCATCATCACCTCGATCTTCGCTCTGTCAACCTCGATTCCCTTCTCTGAAATCCTATGTCCCAGCACGATCCCATCTCTCACCATGAAGTGGCATTTCTCCCAGTTCAGCACAAGATGTCTCTCCTCACACCGCTGCAATACCCTGCACAGATTAGACAAACACACAGCAAAGGAGCTTCCATAGACAGAAAAGTCGTCCATGAAAACTTCCATTATGTCCTCAATAAGGTCAGTGAAAATAGACATCATGCAGCGCTGGAACGTGGCCGGTGCATTGCACAGTCCAAACGGCATTCTGCGATAAGCATAAGTGCCATATGGACATGTGAATGTCGTCTTCTCCTGGTCGTCTGGGTGGATGGGGATCTGAAAGAAACCTGAGTAACCATCTAAAAAGCAGTAGTATGGATGGTTAGCCAATCTCTCAAGCATTTGATCAATAAATGGGAGAGGAAAATGATCTTTGCGAGTTGCAGCATTCAGTTTGCGGTAATCAATGCACATGCGATGACCAGTGACAGTTCTAGTGGGTATCAGCTCGTTCCTATCATTCTTAACAACAGTTATACCACCTTTCTTAGGAACTACATGCACAGGACTGACCCACTTACTATCAGATATAGCATAAATTACACCAGCATCTAGAAGTTTCATTATCTCTTTCTTGACAACATCTTTTAGATTCGGGTTTAACCTCCTCTGATGTTCTACAGAAGTCATCGATTCATCTTCTAGATGTATTCTATGCATGCAAAGATCAGGAGAAATTCCAGGGATGTCATCTAGCGAATACCCTATAGCTTTTCTATACTTCCTAAGCTCACAGAGAAGCAAAGCAAGTTCAACATTGTTCAGCTCAGCATTCACTATCACAGGGTATGTAGAGTTAGGTCCCAGAAATGCATACCTGAGCCCCGCAGGGAGTGTTTTCAGCTCGAGCTTAGGTGCACTCGACTCGCTCCAGGGCTGTTGACTGGACTCTCCTGAGGTCATTCGATCGATCTGGCCGGCTTCGATCGATCTCCTTTTCCTCCAAGCTCATGAACGCCACCAGTCTCTCCATCTTGCCGCTCGCATCCATCATCTTCCCGAAGCCATCGGCTTCCTCATTCAGGAAATCATATCGCCTTCAGCTTTAGTCAAAGCTACCTCCAGAGGGTCGTCAAGAAGCATCTCCTCACTCACTTCGTCCACCAAGTTTGAGCCATCTTCAATCACATAAGTTTGCCCATCTAACATTGGCTTCTTGAGGAGTTTGTTCATCTCGAACCTCATGACGATATCTCCCAGATGGAGATCAATGATTCCTCCCTTCACGTCAATGATTGCACCAGCTGTGCATAGGAAGTTTCGCCCTAGTATGAGCGGATCCTTAGGCTCTTCGTCAAGCTCGAGGACTACAAAGTCTGCTGGAATGAGTGTGTTCCCTATCTGCACATGTAGTCCTCAAGTATACCGACTGGGAACTTGGTCGATCTGTCAGCGAAAACCAAGGAGACTTTCGTGGGTTTGAACTTGTGTATCCCAGTCGCTTGGCCACAGAATACGGCATCAGGTTCACGCTCGAGCCAAGATCGCAAAGAGAGCATGCGAAGGTCATGGCCTATCTGCACTGACAAGACAAATCTTCCTGGATCGCTCCTCTTCTTGATCACCTTGTTCTGCAGCACAGCGCTGCACTCCTCGACACTAGCATGACGTTCTCATCCTCAGCTACCTTCCCAGATATCAGCTCCTTCATGTACTTCTTCAGAGCAGGAATCATCTGAACAGCATCAGACAGAGGCAGCTTCACAGTCAAGTCCTTCAGCATCTCCTTACACTTAGCATCCTCCAAGTCTTTTCTGGACTTCTTCCGTGGAACAGGGTAAGGCACCTTAGGTGCGTAAGCTCGGGCTGGAGCAGTCTCTGCAGCTGCAGGAGTAGGTAAATCAGCTACGGGTTCCTGAGACGACGAAGCGTCTTCACCAGCTCGATCGAGTCCGCTGGATGCAGCTCGATCGACTTCGGCTTCATCTTCCAGTTCTCGTCGGCTTTCTCCTTGCCTGCCCTTTTCAGAGGAATCACAGCAGGTTGTAGCTTCCTTCCACTTCTCAGCTCAACTTGTGCAACATACTCGTTCCTGGGGTTTGCTCTCCTTTCCCAGGAAGGGTTCCTGAGGTCTCTTCACAGCTTCAGCGGTTTGAGCTACTTGGACATCCAGCTTCTTCACGTGAGTCCACACAGCTTCGTACTTCCCATTCAGATCGTTGTACATGGTGTCTATCTTCAAGTGTGTCTCCGCAGTGGACTTCTGCTGGTTCATCAACATCTGCTGCATCATACCCTTAAGCTCATCGTTCGAGTTGTTCGATGAACCTGAAGGTTGTTGCTGATTGCTGAACTGCGCCTTCTGTTGGTTACCACCTTGAGAACGATTCTGGTTTGGGGCAAAAGGTCTTCTCCTGGAAGCTGTTAGGATAGCTCTTCTGATAACTCTGCTGGTTCTGGTTCGATCGAGGCGGATAGACCTGATCCTGAGGGTTCTCGACGTTGGTGCTCCTGTAGGACATGTTCGGATGGTTTCTGTAGTTCGAGTTGAAACCACGGTTAGGCACAAAAGGTTGCCCATTCACATAGTTGACCTCCATCTGATCATCGTCATCCTCTTCTCCTCCAAACTCTTGAGAGATAGGTGCATCATCGTTCTCGTCAACAAAATGAACAGACTTCTGCTGCGCCTTCATCAATAGATTCACCTTAGCTGTGAGCTCCTCAATCTTCTTCGCATCAGCACTGCTTCCTTTGACAGATACAGTGCTCACTGTTCTGTCGTACTCAGCGTTCTTGTTGCTCGAGCTCGCTGCAAGATTCTCGATCAGCTCGAATGCACCTTCCTTGGACTTCGTCATGAAATCGCCATTGCTGGCTGCGTTCAAAGCGTTCCTGTAGTCCCAGTTGACTCCATCATAGAAGATGCTCAGGATCTGCTCGTCAGAGTATCCGTGATGAGGGCACTCTCTTCGGCACTCCTTGTATCTCTCCCATGCTTCGCAGAAAGCTTCTCCATCATACTGCTGGAAAGATGCGATCTTCGTCCTTAGAGCTGCATTCTTGGACTTCGTGTAGAAGTGGTCCAGGAAAGCTGCTCTAACTTGGTCCCATGAAGTCAAAGACCCAGGTGGTAATGACTTCAGCCAGCGAGATGCTTTGTTGGCAAGTGAGAATGGGAATAGCTTGCACTTCAGAAAGTCAGCCGGTACTCCATTCGAACCAGTCGTGCTGCATATCTCCTCAAAGTTCTGGATATGGTCCGCAGGAATCTCAGCAGGAAGTCCATGGAAGATGTGATCCTTGACTAGAGCGATCATGCCGGGCTTGATCTCGAAGTCTTGCCTCTGCACGTTTGGAGGGACAATCGCAGACCGGTTTTGATAGAAGGTGTGCGGATTGTCCTTGTCTCCAATAGCAGGACGAGGTTGCGGTTCTCGATCTTGTTGAGCCTTCCGCATCTGCTCGATCTGCTGCTGAAGCTGCTGCAACTGAGCAGCCATGTTCGGGTTGCCGTTATCGCCCATGTCGGCTGGATTCGGCCTTCGTTGTCTGTTTGCTCGTTCTACTCTTGCAAGTTCTGCGTTGGACAGGATCAAGAAGCTCTTCGTTGCGGTTGCTCCGTCGAGATCTAGTGATCATGCACCTGAAACACACAAGAAAAACGAGAGAAACAAGTTAGTAAATCTTAGACTAAATTTCAAATCAA